ATATATTTGTTTTTAGGATCTCATTGATCCAATGGTTTGCTATCATCTGAAGGCTAAAAAGCAAGAGAGCGAGAGGTTACTGGATATCCACAGTCTGTCGTCATCACGCAGTTAGATTTATGGCGCTCCATTCTCTCATGCAGGCAGAAAGCGCCGTGCCAAGTTTTCAGGAGGAATATGGATGCTCGTCCCAATCACCAGCTAAACCCCGCAGTCTTCCTCCCAAGAGGCTCGGATGAAAGCAAGCTGTTTCTAATTTGACACTATAAAAATGCACTCGGAAGAATTTGCCTGGAGCTCTTTTACCTCACGCCATGTGAAGCGCGTCGTCTCCACAGCTTCTCATTGTTTAAGAGCAGCGCGATGCGCTCCGTCATGTGATAGCAATTAGAAATGTGACTTCTTAACAGGACCCTCTCTGAATGTCTGCTCAGGGGGAGATAAGTGTAAATGTCTGCTAACAAGATGTCTGAAACTGTCTTGATTATTCCTGACAGCAATTCATTGACGAGGTTCGGGAAGATGTGACTGTGCCAGTCCTCTGCTCAAAGCTGTGAACATCTTTTTACATCCGAACGTGCAACAAGAAGCCTTCTGTCATAGAGGGAGGATGGACTCACCATCACAATGTTTGAAATCTACAATCTCACTGTCACTCACAGTATGGGGAGGATTCACACTAGTGTGATACCTCAAAGTGAGGATATAGGTTTGTTTAACTAGCAGTTAGTGTTCCACATATTCATGGAATAGTAAGTTTGGGTGAATTAGGAAATTGATTTTAGAACGAAGAAAAAAACATAAATATTTCTATTCCTGTCACTCAAGTGGATGGAAAATGGAAAAGCTTAAATAGACTAAAATGGGCTAAAATATTACTACATTTATCTCCAAAATGACTTCCATCCTCCTCCTCCTCCAGCACCGGTGGGTGTAGGTGACACCAAAAGCTCTCCTCTTATCTGTTTCTTCAAAGTCAAATTGATAGTTGCTGCAGATGTTTGTGGAGCAGCTGGTAGTGGTAGACACAAAAAAGGATTCAGCACTGAGCAGTAAAGAGCCATTAAACACATGCATTTCAATTCTACATCTACTCCAACACACTTTGTTGAAGAACTCATAAATGTTGAGTCAGCGCCACTGCTTCACGTTACAAACATCATTGCAGTGCTTAATGGAACGGCACAGTATCTCTCTCCAATGTGACATCTCACATTTTAGTATCTTGGCATCGACTCGGGGCATCTTGGATTGTTTGCATAAATAAATGAAATGCGAACTGCTCCTACGCCTCATCGCAAGCAGTTATTCTTGTTGATAAGCATCTTTTCATTGATTGAAATATGTCTTGTTTCTCAAACCTCTTTTTCTCTCTGTCTCCTTTTTTAAAAAATTGCAGCCATCAAGATTATGATTTCATCTCGGGCACACGTATGCGGATGATGGCTCGCGAGGGAGAGAATCCTCCCGACGGCTTCATGGCGCCGAAGGCTTGGTCTGTGCTGAAGGAATACTATAAGTCACTGGAGAAGGCTTAGAGGCCGAGTCTCACGTAAAACAAACATTTGAAGACAGTGAGGTTTAACAGGATCAATGAGGGGACCACTCATCTACTGTCAACAAAAATCACGCTCTGGCTTCTGTCCGTGTCACTTTCACGCTCAACTGAACAGGAAACTGGTCTCAGTTGTGTTTAGTCTTATAACATTTGTGTTTTAACTCGATGTACTTTTATTTAACTGAACTCACTTTGATTGGGAATTATAGTAGAAGTATTATAACAAACAGAAGCAGTTCTTTTAAAATCAACGTTTGTGTTTCTCACTAACTTCATAACTGTATATTCTGTCAACTGTAAAGATTAAGGATCAAGACTGATGATGACCTGTATGGAAAGTACTGTTGACCAGTATTTGAAGAGGCCTGGATGAATGTTTGAATTTATAAAGTTACTGCACCCTGCTGGAGTTCACTTAAAGCTCACTATTGAAACCCCAAAAACGTTACTTTGTACTTTATGTTTGCAAGTGGCAGTGGTAATTGCTCAAAATTTGGTGTACACAAGTATTTGATGTATCAGTCGAGTGCCTTGGTCCTCGGAAAGTGAATTCACATGATGTCTTGTTTGAATTAGGACACACACACACACACACCTCTGCTTCTTGTCTCACTTGTCTTTGTTACACTGACTGATACGGTCCAGTAGTTGAAGAAATGAGCTGCAAAACATTTAGATTATATGCAACGGGAATCTTCGTAAACGTCTCTGAAACATTTTAAACATTTGTATGTAGTCTATTTATTCTGTCCGAACATGTCCTTGTCTTCTCTTTTTAACGGTGCTGTGCATGTAGTTTTAACTCGTCTCTCGACAGACTTTATGTTTTGTTACATTTTCATCATTTTCTTTCCTCTCTCATGGGTTGCTAACATTTTCCATGTGGTAATTCATTTCAAGTGTAAGGGCTGTATAGTCAGATTGTTGATGGTTACATTAAGGGATCAGATTTGTTAATTGTCCTTGTCCAATAAACAATTTGTTTACTTTTACTTTCTGTAATCTTTTGGGTTTTTTTTTTTTTTTTTTTTACACACAGTGCATGTTTTTTTTCTGTTGCAGCACACCAGAGTTTTAAATTCATAACATAATCACAAACAATTTGACTCTATTCTAAATGTCAGCACTTGATTTCATGTATTTTGGAGACCAACTTTCATTGATGAGATGTCGTCAACTGTTAGCTGCTCCAAATCTCCTCGTGTCTTAATGACAAACTTGTTTTTGACATCCACGTCAGCAGCGCTCGCTCTTCATACTTTACCTTCTACAATTTCGTAGACCCTGCCAGTTGGAACTTTTGTGACCTCCCAGTTGGTCAATCAGCTGCATATTGACTGAGACAGACCCTCTAGTGACCCCAATCAGACTCAGACACACTCGCACACTGTATACAAAGAGCTGCAGCTGGCTCCCAGATGCAGCGGTGCAGCGAAAGTGGAACATTCAGACCGAGAAGAGTGTCTGTGTCAGAAATGCCCTGGATACTTCATCTAATCCAACTCCAAGATGTAATGAGTAGACCTGCTAGCAGCATGTTTTTTTTCCCCCTCTACCTTTCACCAGATCTTCTTCAATCTCAAATGGTAATCAAGCTGCGTCCTCAGTACAACTTCAAAAGAGGAGCTGTGTTTTTTTAACACAGAAAAATGATCAAATGAGTTTGCAGAGGTTGCCTCGTGATTTTTGTTCTTGAAACCGTCTGTAGGAGATCAGATGCTCTCTGGGTAATGCAGATGTCTGTTACTATGTTGATGTTATCTTACTTGTTTCATGCTCTGTGGATTTTTTTTAACTTCTGGCTCCTTTTTCACCTTGTTCGCCTCATAATTGGATCTTGCTTTGAAACCTTTCATCTGTCTGAGGGTGTTGTTACAGCGTGGCACCCTGCCAGAGCAAAAAGCTTGAAGGTGCCAGAAGGAGTTGTAGTGTTCCGACTACTGTTTACACAACGTATGCCTTCACTCACCTGCACCCTCTCATTTCAGACGGTCATCAACAACATTCATCACAGGTAATGAAGCCGTAGAATATTTTTGTCTTAGATTTTTTTAAAGGATGAGCTTCATGCCAGACTTTAGTTTGCTGGTGTACTAATATGTTTCTAATTTACATATATATATACATACATACTGTGTATATATATATATATATATATATATATATATATATATATATATATATTACTAACTCAGAATATTGGCTCTGTCAATTATGGAATTTATAAAACAGTGTTGCCATTTAAGAGATTCATTAAAAATAAGTTTTCTAAGAAAATATGTCTCTATATACAGTATATATATACCACCAAAAGGTTCAGCTCTTACATGGACTCCAGCTGCTTTTATCTCCAATTTCCTTCCATCTGGTTTGAGTTTCACTCAATGCCAGTCATGATAAAAACAGGCTTTACTTTGCAAAATGCAATACAATGGATAAGGACATGGTTAAAATTCAAGGAAAGTTGTCTCCCTGAGAGATGGCTCTGAGGTGCGTGCGTGCGTGCGGGGCAGGGGCAGCGCTCATCAGCAGTAATGATTTTGTGTGAGGATCTGGACCTTTATGATGGCAGTGGGAAGAGTTATCTCACATATTGAGCTCCAATAAAAATGTAGACGGGTTTTTAGGAGGTTGACATGCTGCACTGTTGAAATACACTGCTCCTCTAAAAGAAGAAATGCAGCCACTGTATGTTAGATTGGATAGATTAAAATGAAGTATAGTAAAAATACATCAACCAAAAATATATGATTATTTTTCTTCCTATCTGGCGAACGAATCCTACACCAATAGTAGTCAAGGGATGTAAAGGTGGAATCTCCAAATTGGTAGTTTGAGTACATTTGGGTTCCATCTGTGCCATTTGAAATGTTCTCAGTGAACAGTAAACTCATTTAGTTTAATTAATATGTCACTATAGGTATTAATTCTATCTAAATACAACTGCTTTTTTTTTTTTTTTTTTTTTAACTCCACTCAAACCATAACCCATTGGGCTATGTGGAGAATGAGTGCAGTACTACAATTCTTCCACCAGGAGGAGACATAGACTGTGTTTTCACATGCAAGGCTGAGGATAGGCTGCTCCTTGCTGGAAGAAGGTAGAGTGCAAATTCTCCTTCATGCAAATGAATAGACGCGGCTGGAATCGACTCTAATGAAATGATCCAGAGACAATGTAGTAGCCATTAGCAGCGTTGATGTTCCCTCGAACACAACTTTTTTTTATCACAAAACAGAAAAGCTAAGACATGATTTATAATTGAGGCTGCATGAAGTGAAGTTTATTTTTTCTCTCTTTTGACTGCTGGTTCAGTGAGTTTTGGTCGTAGAGTGATACGACTTACAGTGCCTTGCATAAGTATTCACCCCCCTTGGATGTTTCATCCTTTTGTTGCTTTTCTACATGAAATCATGGTCAATATAATTTGGCTTTTTTGACAAGAATTTGCAAAAAAAAACCTCTTTAATATCAAAGTGAAAACAGATTTTTACAAAATAATGTCAATTAATTAAAAATATATGAGGTAAAGTAAAGATTGCACAAGTATTCACCCCCTTCAGGTCAGTATTTAGTAAATGCACCTTTGGCTGCAATCACAGCACTGAGTGTGTGTGTGTGTGGATATGTCTCACTCAGGCTGGCACATCTGGACACTAAGATTTTTCTCTATTCTTCTTCAAAACAGCTCAAGCTCTGTCAGGTTACTCAGGGATCGGGCGTGAACAGCTCTTCTGAAGTCCAGCCACAAATTCTGGATTGGATTGAGGTCTGGGCTTTGACTTGGCCACTCCAGAACATTCACCTTGTGGTCTTTGAACCATTCTGTGGGGCTTTTGCTATATGTTTGGGGTCGTTGTCTTGCTGGAGAATAAATCTTCTCCCAAGTCGTAGTTCTCTTGCAGACTGAGTCAGATTATCCTCCAGGATTTGGCGATATCTTTCTGTATTCATGTTCCCCTATACCTTTACAAGCCTTCCAGGGCCTGCTGCTGAGAAGCATCCCCAGAGCATGATGCTGCCACCACCATGCTTCACGGTGGACATGGTGCGTTTGTGGTGATGTGCAGTGTTTTGTGTTCACTAAATATAGCGTCTAGTCTGATGGCCAAAATGCTCAATTTTTGTCTCATCAGACCAAAGAACCTTCTTCCAGTTGAGCTTGGAGACTCCCACATGCCTTTGGGCGGATTCTTTCTACAGTGTCTTTCTCTTTGCCACTATCCCTTACAGCTTCGACTGGTGAAGAACCCGGGCAACAGTTGCTGTATGTACAGTCTCTCCCATCTGAGCCACTGAAGCTTTGAACTCCTTCAGAGTGGTCGTAGGTGTCTTGGTGGCCTCCCTCATCAGTCCTCTTCTTGCCCGGTCACTCAGTTTGTGAGGACGGCCAGATCTAGGAGATTTAAACAAGTGCCATACTCCTTCCAATTCTTAATGATGGACTGAACTGAACTCTGTGGGATGTCCAGTGAGTTGGAAATATTTTTGTAGCCATCTCCTGACTTGTACTTTTCAATGATCTTTTCTCTGAGTTGCTTGGAGTGTTATTTTGTCTTCATGTTGCAATTGTAGCAGGAATACTGATGAACCAGAGACTGGACCTCCCAGACACAGGTGTGTTTATACTACAATCACTTGACACACATCAACTGCACTCAGGTGATCTCCATTTCACTACTTGTGACACTGCTGGCATCAACTAGCTGGACTTCTGTTGAATTAGGTCAGTCACTTTAAAGGGGGTGAATACTTATGCAATCATTTACTTTACCTTATATATTTTTAATTAATTGACATTAGTTTGTAAAAATCAGTTTTCACTTTGACATGAAAGAAGCTTTTTTTGCAAATTCTTGACAAAAAAGCCAAATTATACTGACCATGATTTCATGTATAAAAGCAACAAAAGGGGAAAACATCCAAGGGGAGTGAATACTTATGCAAGGCACTGTATACTTTTGGAATCTCGGCTTTCATTTCGCGCTGTATCGTTTGTGTGGGTAGCTTGAAGAGGCAAAAAATCGCTAGCAGCAATATGCGCGCCTTATTGTGTTTTTGCTGTGTGCTAATTTAGTTGGTTGGTGTTGGCATTAAGTTTTGTTTTGGTAAAAATGGTTAGCGTGACATTTTATCTGAGTTTCTTGCTGTTATGTGTGCATGCTGGAGGAATATGTTGCTACTTGTCATTCTCTGTTTTTTGTTGCGATGTGAGCAACTGCCCTTGGGTTCAAGATGTCAGAATTCAATTTTTATAATCTGATATTATCATTGACTCATGTTTTAATCGTCGGACAGCCCAGAGTGCACGTAAGTATAAGTCCTTTGATGTGTGTGCACAGTACATAGCCAGATAATAGCCACAAATCATCAGTCATGCCACCATATTGTACTTCTTAATCACATTTGCCTTTGATATAGACTTCATGAGACACTCATTACTACAAGATTACCAGAGCCTGATAAATCATTCTGCTTTATGATTTTCTTGTCAACGCATCATTTCAGAATAAGGCTATGGTTAGACAGCCTCGGGAACATTAGCTCAGGAGCGCAGAGGTTCAACATAAAGAGATCATACAGACGGAGAGAGATCATGCAGCAAATGTTGTTGGCACATCAAAGGAAAGCATCTGTTTCATTACCTTGGAGGACTCTAGAAAAGAACAATTCCAGGCTCTTATACAACAGATACTCTCTCAGTCACAGAAGGTAGGCTGTAAGCTCATACTGTAGCATCCTCAATGAGGGTTCCACCTATGGGATGCATCTGCTGAGAAAGAGGAAACAGTATATCTGTACCTTTCACCAGCAGAGAGGATAGATATACGTATATGTACAATGTCAACAGATATAAGTTACAAAGAGCTTGACAGGGCATGAGTAAAGCTGATTCTGAAATGTTGTTGTTTGTTACCATGAAACTTGGTGCCAGAGGAGTCAGAACAAGTTGTACATGTGAAATATTTCTGCAGAGTGAAAGAGAGGCAT